GGGATGGTCTATGGCCAGTGCAATTACTGCGGGGCAAAAATTGCACCAAACCGGGCCAAAGATCAACTCGAACGTTGTACAGAGTTAGAAATAAATTGCCAAGAATGCCATGAAAGCATGAAAAGGAAACAGAAAGACGCACACAAAGCGACGTGTTCAATGGAAGACGTCCTCTGTAAATGTGACATTAGTTTTAACAGAAGATATTAAAAAAACATAAGATCTAACTTGTAATGTAACAGGGGCGCCTTGCCTACTTAAATAGGGACAAAATATAAATAGAGTTTTTGGAAGATATGCGAGTTACGCCTTGTCTTTTCGCTAAACTTGCAACATGATGCCAACTTGTTTATGCCATCTAGTGGCATCAGAAGGACAGATTCTAATGATGGGTATTCTTTTGATTTATATAATTCCTATATGTGCCTCAGGAGCAAGCATATAAAGAGAATATTTTAGCTGATTTATTTGTGTAATATCCTTATTATGTTGTCTGAGTTCATATATTTCCCTTCACCATGACAAAGTATACTTTAAATTATGATAATCCAAAGAGTAACCTATTCTGTTAAAAATCAACTTGAAATGTGCTTACAATTCAACCATACCTGATATTTGCGAGTAACCTGACTGCTTTGAGGTTTCTGTTACAAAACACACTATAGGAATTAGGGAGAAGCCAAATTTAGTGTTTAGTCAACTCCTCAGCCCTCTGATTTTACCAAATTTTAAATCAGCCAAATAATTGAGTCTGGTTGGAGAGGAGTGGAAATTATATGTATTGCAAATAACAGCAAATGCACCAAATTCAGAAATACCCGTTCACAAAGTCTATGTAGCACATGGACAGAGACGGCTTTTTATTTATACCCGATGTAAAAACTAGAAACTTAAATCTCCCAGAATCAATGAAGACATTTCAAGAAAAGAAGCAAATTTTTCATTCTTCATAGAGTTCTACGATATGATACCCCTACAATTTCAAAACATGTAAATATGATCATAGTGGAAAATATGCTTAAGAAGTTGTGAATTTTTTATTTGTATTAACCCTTGTACTTTCTTTTTACTGAAGTATTTATTTAATACCCATATTGTAATTCCATTTTTTGTTCAAGCATTACAACAATTTACCTCTTGTTCATTTTCTGATGACATGAATTTCAGATATAAGAAGTTAATGGTGTAAGTTATTAGTACCTTAAAAGAGTTAATGGTTTATAGGCTGTTAGGAAGTAGGCACCATGCCTATCTTGAGTATCATCACATCAATTAATCTGTCTGATTATATTGCATGGATAAATTTATCAAACAAATGGAAGTCCTCTCTAAAAGATTTTTTGGTTTTTTTCAAAGCTGTAATACAAGTTGTTAAATGAGATTTATCCAAGTTAAACTTCATTTCCCTTCCCTGATGTTGTTTTTTCTTCCAAAAAAAAGTTATGAGATAAATTATCAATAGTTGTCTATTGGATGTATTTTTGAATGAATGCTATCAATACAAATTGTCAACATATTTGACATTTGAACCAGCTACCTAGGGAAAACATTTCATGATATTTGCTTTAATTATCAAGGTGAAAAAGGTCCAAGTTTAGCACTAGTCAAATATAAGTGTATCAAATCTCTTTTTGTATAGTGATCTGTTGATAAATTTTGAAGAAACTTCGGAAACTCATTTGCACTGACCTTTCAATATACTACCGAGGTTTACTCCAATTTATCTTTTCCTTGATAGACTTTGGGAACTAGCAACTTAATTGCTATTGACAATAATTATGCCTCCAAGAGGGTTTTTGTGCTCTTAAAAATTACAAACAATGAATTTGAAGATGTATCAGTTTCATATGCGTTTTACAGTGTTGTAAATCAAAATGTTAACCTCACAAAATGCATGGAAAGGTTGCAACCACAGTTCAACCCGTCAGTCCTAAATGTGTACCATACTTTCAGGGTTTTGTCTTATTCAAATCTGCTAGGGGTCTTCAATCTTTGCCCTAAATCTTGGGATTCAACCTCGTTCCCAGGGTCTCTCATCTTCTTGCCCCTGGAGCGAAAGAAGAGAGACTTTGGTTTAGGCTGGTTACGTGTCTTCGCAATTTTAGCAGATTACAAATTAGTGGTTTGAGACAGATTAGGCAGATTAGTGGGAATTTCTCTCTACCTAGTCCACTGGCGAGTGTAGCTTGTCGGCAATCAAAACAAACTACACGTGAAGCACTTTGAACTGAATGATGTCAATTAAGAATATTCAGAAGACGCCCAAAAAGATCAGTAAATCTTCCACTATGGTAAATATCTGTTGTTGCAGGCTTTGTAAACCAGTTGGAGGCGTATCTTGCTTGAAGAACATTTATGCAAATGATATCAAAATGGTCACTAGAGCTAACAGCCCTACAAAAAGGTTTGCTTTTAGCTGTTTAAGTTCATTTTTATCAAGGGGGAGTTACCAGTATTTGAATGAACTTTTTTTATTCTCCTTTTAGGATAATGGTGAAGATTCGAGACCAATCTGTGAGTTGTGTTTCAGACACAGTTACCTGTTGCCAAAAATGTCTGATTATCATGGGTAGACACTGAAACACAGGCCCGACTTCTGAGTCCTATAAAATCATTATTTTGCCATATCTCATGTAGCTGGCTGCTGTTTGGCTTTAAAGGAAATTGAAATTGAAATTGAAATTGAAGGGAGATGGGATCCAACTTCCTATTTTTCTCCCATTTCCTTCAACTGAAACGGCTTCTGTTGATACGTGTAATGAGACTGTATCCTGTTCCATCAGTGCATGTAAATGTGTTCTCTTTTATCAGTCAATCTGTATGGCAACTTATGCAAACACATATGAAGGCCCATACTGATCAAAACTACACTCTAAATAAATGCTAATGCTGGACTGTTTTTTCATGCTACTATAATGTTTTAATCCATCTGTGTCGCTTTCTTGTTTGCATTAATATTTGAGTTTTTGTGTATCATGCAAGATAAAATTACTTTGAAGGTGATAATATAATCATTGATATTATTTTTTCATATGACAGAGTATAATTTTTCTCTTCATTGCCATATACAAATTTTTCATAACAAATTCAAAATTTTTTTAATGTATATGTACATATTTTTTTTGTATCATGATAGTATAAATTTTTTTCCATGGTACTCAAAAATTTTGAGGATTGTGTGCTAATTTTTTGGACCATGATGCATTGCGTTTCATCGTGGAGAGAGGTATGGGTCGAGGGTAAGTTCCCGCCAAAACAGGCTGCCTTCGTCACCATCTTGGAATATGTCTTCGTCAAGAAGATAAACGAGAATAGCTAATATAGCATTAAACGGCATCCGAGAGATTGATTCTCTATTAAATATATCAGCCAGACAATCACCTTCTTCTGGTACCGATAACCAATCTCCAGGGCAAACTGGAAGTAGACCTAGCAATGTTCTCAGCGAGCTTCATTCTCGTTTCCCAACTCTATCGAGCAATGCAACCAATGCTCCCAGGAATGTTGCATTGTCATCCCGTAATATTGGAAGAGCAAATTGTACTGCAACAAGGGATTGTGCGATCAAGGATATTGTAATTGTCGGGGCAAACACTGAAAAAACACCACAAGCAAGAGAAGAAAAGGTGCAACTGGAAAGAAAGAATAGAGTCATTTCAGGTTTTGCGATTGACAAAACGTGGAATGATAAGACTTTGTACAGCAAAGTAAAAGCACAATTCCCGGATGATTGCAAGGATATCGATTTTGAGTTTGTAAAAACTGTTATGGGACACTCAGTTAGCGAATGGAGTAAAAACTGATGGCAGCATACCGTTGAAATCTATTGCATCCACCACCACCATCTATGTTCGTTTATTTGCTGATGACTTTGATGACTTTGAGTTTGATAAAAGCCCTTTTGAATTTGATGAAAAGAAGTCAGAAAAAGAAGATGACCCAAGTGCTATACTTCATGATGCTGATAAGACTACTGCAGGTAATATTGTGAGGTAGTAGTTAATTCTATTGTATTGTCTTTGGTTTTAATAGTTGCATTGGTATTGTGTTAGGTTTTTTTTAAATTTTTACAATCATCAAATCATTCTGGCATTATTAGAGTGCTATATACATGTAGTTATTGAAACAACAATGTGGCATACATGTAGCTCAAAATGGGACTAAATGATCCTAAAATTTACATTTTGATTTGTTCATGCTTTGAATGTTTATTATTATAAATAAAAGGCTAATAGATTTTTTAACAGACAAACGTTTTCTAACTTGTTCAGTTCATCATCAGAACTAAAAGAAATGGAAATAAACATCCAAGTAATCCCATAAGGGGATAGTGTTAAGTGGAATGCTTCAATTTGTTTTAAACAAAACCATTCTCTTATGGGATTACTCAACACTCTGCAATTTAGATGTTCATTTCCAAATTTTTTTAGTCCAGATGATGAACTGAACAATTTCAAAAGAACATTAGACTGATAAAAAATCTATTAGCTTTTTAAGTGTAATATTCAAACAACACTAGGTGATTACATTACGTTAAATTTCTGTCTTTCTTTCCACGTTTTCATTGTATATAATAATGAACACTATAAGAACTGGGAGTATGTTGTGCTTTTCAGTTGACAAGAGGGAAACTATTGACCTTACTGAAGATAAGGAGTTTACAACAATAGTTGTAATCACCCAAGAGATTATAAATCACAGTGTAAATGATGTGCAAAACCCTGTTGAAATACTAAAGTATGCTCAAGGGAAGATTCTAAATGGTAGACCATTGGAGACAGCAGATGTATGAATTGAAATTGAAGGGGAAACCAATTTTATTCTGGTTGACAGAGAGAATTTACTGGAATCGGGATTTGAGGAAATAAGCACAATAAGTAACTTCAGGTTACCACTGGAAGTGAACTTTATTGGCAAGGCTGCAAGAGACTTTGGAGGCCCTAGGAGGGAGTTTTTTCGATGGATGCTGATTGAGATTAAAGACAATCTTTTATAAGGTGGAGTGTTATTGGAAGATTTGTCTGAAAAATAAAAGCCAGCTGGCATTGTAATGGGGCTGAGTGTTCTTCAGAATGGTAAAATTCCTCAATTCTTCCCTGAAAACATTCTTAGAGAACTAGCAAATGGCCACTCATCATCGTCATGTGTAAGAAATCTCATGAGAGGGTTTCGTAAAGTTGGTGTTCTCCAGCTATTGATGAAACTACCCACTTTCATGTATCTCTTCATTCCAAGTGAGGCAAGTGCTCTCAGTGTGAAGAAGCTTGCTAATCTTCTTACTCCTAAATTCAGCGAGGAAGGCTCAAATGCAAGAAAATACCAGAAGGAAGTATATGCTGCATTTATTCGTTACATTAAAGAAGTTGCTGCTGGAAGGAGAGTGTCGGGAAATAACACCCTTTACCTTGGTCATGTGCTGCAGTTTGTGTGTGGAACAGATGAAGAACCTACACTCGGATTTGTTTTATCACCAGAAATCAATTTCACTGAATGTGGTGATGCATTTATGCCCACAGCCAATACATGCCTAAATGTTCTCAATCTACCCATCCCAAGCTACTCCAAACAGCTTCCAGGTGACAAGTTTTTGTTCAACCTTTATGACTTGGCTTTCAGTAGTTCCTACTTTGGTGTTGTATAATTTTACAAAAACTGTGGGCTACGAAAAAAAAGGGGGAGATCGACTGTTTGTTATCAAGGGAACAAGTTTTGAATCATGGTTTTAACCTTTTGCATGTTAACAATTTGTTCTAACTAAAAACATTGTCATAATAACACCTTTGGTTGTGGTTTCATATATTTACAAAGTTTTAAAATTTGTTATTATTGTTTTACTGAGATGTTTTTAGAATCAGAATGTCCACTGTGTCTACATACAAACCCAAGCTTTTAAGTTGTGTAGGAATAATTTATATTATATTTTTGGGAGTTTATAAAAATTGTTCTTCATTGTTATCACTGCTATTCATAAAAATGATATACCAAATAAAGTTTTCCATTTTATCATGATGTAATTATTTCCCTTCTTAGCTTTGATGTCATTGTCATTGTTGCCTACACTGGAACGACTAACTACTGTTGTAGACATCTCACAATGTATGGCTTCCTGAACCACATGAGACAGCATTGTCAGTATATGGTTTCAGAATTCAAAACCATTGGCACTCAATTTTAATGTTTTTCTTTGCCTTTCCACAATCCTTTTGCTTATGAAAAAAACATAAAACAATGAAAACTACTTCATAAATAATGAGATGAAAACTAGTGAACACTAATGTAGGGTGCAGTGGTGTTTAAGGTACCAGTGATAGTTGAGATCAGGTCAGGTAGTGAAAGCTGTGTACTGTCATTTCAGACGTTAGTCCTTCGTTGGAGTACCAGTAAGTCTTATATATATCATGCAGAAATATACATTATTTTCTACTTAATGAAGTGATAAAATCCTAAACTTTGTTTTAAACAGTTAACCATTCTCGTTGCCAAAGAGGAGGTGGGTGGGTTAAAATTTCGTATCCAAAACTTTATTTGGTGATATGTGAAAAGAATTCTTCGATTTGAGGAGTTTTAACTAACTTCAAATTTCCAATGGACGATGATGGGCTATGAATACAATGGGTGTTTAACCCAACTACTCGGCCGAATATTATGTAGATAAATAGTAAAAATAATTGCCGTAAAAAAAACTATTTGATAAGCTGAAAACAACACAGGAAATTAATTTCTGAAGTGAATTTTTAGTAAGGGACCATTCATTATTTCTGGGAGGAGGGGATGGGTGATTAAATGAAGGGACTTTAATTTTTTTTTAAGCCTACAAAAGGGGTCTTGAAATACAGAGCTATCTTGGGGTAGCAAAATTTTACTATCGGAATTAAAGGGCGGTCATTGAAAAAATGTGTTTATCATAGTTGGACCCTTTAACAAAAAGGTACCTTTGCTAATTTATCCCCACCCCACCCATCTCCTTCACAAATAATGAACAGTCCCTAAGAATCAACCATGGAGTTGTGGAAAGTAAAAATAATTCAGAAATATTTCTTTATTCACTCAGAATCTGCCTTGATTTTTTATTTTATTTTCTATTTTTTAGTGTAACTAAGTATTCACATTTAGAAATGAAGAAATGAGATCTACACATTGCAAAGAGCTAAGCTGTCCCTGATATTCATCATTATCCAAGGGATCAGGTAATTGTAACATTTGTTCACCTGAAATTGCACATGTTGGTGGATTCAATTGTACCTGATAGTCAACATCCTCCACAGGGACTAACCCTTCAGGATCAAAGCCATATTGATCTAATTCACTTTCTGATAGTGAGGGTTCAGGGGGGTTGACATTCTGTTGCATACCAGCTGTCCATAACTGAAGTGGGGAATTGTTTTTCTCTGTAGAAATTGGCCTGTTATTCATCTGTGCAACAAATTCTTGAAGGGAAATATTTATCCTTGGAGGGTAGGTATAGTGTAAACAATACAAATGCAAATCATTCAAAGGATCAAGAATCCCAGTTTTCTCCATTTCATTAAACAACTGTGCATAGAAATATAGGACCCCAGAGTAAACATCTCTACGACTTCTCTCCACTCGGCAGTTATGAACAGAGGACCCAGTGATGATACTAGCCCTGTTTAAGCCCTGTTTTTCCAACATGAATTGTGCAACATGAACATTCTCCATTCCATAGTCGCATCTTGCTCTGGAAGGTAATACATATTCATGAGTTCCCTCAACAAAGAGTTCTAAAACAGTTTCAGCTCTATTGTTGTCACAGCATTTGCAGTAAATTATTAAACGCGAGAATCCATCAATACAAAGATGAACTACAAGCTTCCACCTAATTAGTTTGCGAGCACCATCAAAGTGCCAGAGTGAATTGGGTCCAGGTACACTGTACTTGCAACGGTATATAACCAATCTCCATCTTAATGAAGTGCCAATAGGATCCATTCTTCTAAGACATTCGCTTACTCTTGACCGCTGAACCCTAATGCCTCGACTTCTCAAGGCACCAATAAGTCTTCTTTGGCCAATATTTGGTGTGAGAAACCCCCCTCTTGCTTGATTTGTGTCAGGTGCAGTCATCATCTTTTCAGTTTATCATCTATTTCAAACATCTTTCTCCTTCTTTGAAGTGTAGATACACTGATACCAAGCAGCTTGGTTATTTTTTCCCAAGAAAAATGAATTGTATGCAAGTATTCTATTTGGTCCTCACTGATCACAATGATTGGTCCTCCAGGTCCCTCTCTGCCTTCCACAGGTGGAGTAAAACAACTACCTGATGAGCTTCCACTTGCTACAGTTTCATGAGAAAGGGGAACATCGTGAAGGGACTGCACATTACTCTTAAGGAGATGTAAAGACTCTTTCAACGTACAGTTTTCTGGAGCTCCATCGAGATCATGTTCAATCAAAGTCAGTGTTGCATAAGCATCCTGTAATCTATGTCTTGTTATTTTGATGATTTCTTCTGTCCAAGTTGTTTCTTGGAAATTTATAAAAAGATTAACTACTCCTTTTAAATTCTGAAGGAAGAGTTGTAATCCTCGCTGATTTCGTTCCCTAAATATAGTATGCCTTGACATTTTTACGGTTCTAAAATTACAACTTTGAAAACATGGCGGCGCTCGACCTATACCTCTCTCCACGATGAACGCAATGCATCATGGATCCAAAAAATTAGCCCACAATCCCCAAAATTTTTGACTACCAGGGGAAAAAATTTATACTATCATGATACAAAAAAAATATGTACATATACATTGAAAAAATTTTCAATTTGTTCCGAAATTTTTGTATGTGGCAATGAAGAAAAAAATTATACTCTGTCATATGAAAACACAGTGTGTAAATATTATATTCTTACCTGACTCCTGCTACCACAAGGTTCATAATTCTTTCCCTTAATGTTTCAAAACTCCATTACTGCAGCCCTTTATTCTATGGCCTTCCCCTTCATCTAATTCAAAAGCAGGAACATCTTCAAAATTCTGCTGCTCATACCACTCAGTCTTGAAGATTTTGTTACATCACTCTGCTTCTCAAAGATTGGCTTCCTTTTCCTCTTCGCATAGAATTTAACATTTTCTTGGGAAATATTAACTCTGCGAGCTACATGGCCATTTTTATACTTAAACTCAAAACACTCCGCTATGCTTGAGCTTGAGGCTCAATTTCCTTAACTGTCGTTTCATAGTTTAAATTTTTAATTTCCCTTGTCTAAGTCCTCATTAAGCTTTTTCAATTTTTACTTTTAAATATTTCAAGTATTTCAAGTCACACTACTGTAATAAGCACCTTAAAATCTTGAAGAAGAGGGGCTACATAAATAAATTAGTATTATTGACACATTATGTAAAATGATTTACCCTCCCATTTAGCGACATCAATGCTGTCAAAACAATATGGTGTATACTTCCTGGAACTGGGAGTTCATATTGTGAAACTGAAATAAAAACTTGTTTCAAGTCATAAGATCAAAGGTATTTTAATTTCATGGAGGTAAAGAAAATTGTTTGGTATAACAAGGTTTCACTGCAGTACTTGAAAATATTAAACTAATTGCCATTGATCAATATTGACAGAATTTTTCTCTTAAGGTATGCTGCAACTAAACTGGATGAAGACCTGTTTAAAAAGTGCCACATATTCAGCTCCTTTTTCTTTTCCAAGCTGTCTCAGAGAGTGAAGATAGGAAGAGTCTGTTTTACCTTGGTAAATGTGTACCACATCCTCTTATTTCTTAAGGAGTAGTAAGTCAGCTTTAAAATTCTACGGGCTTGGTTACAGCTCACCAGTTCATTAACTACAAAGTCAGAGCTTCATGGCCAATAAATATTTTCCCATGTATTATTTCATTATCTCATTAGTTCTTTTGTGTTTTAGTATCACAATCTTGTTTCACCTTCTCTGTAGTCCTGAGCACCGGCATGCGAGTGCTTCGACATTTACAAGAAATGTGGACATTTTCCTAAAGATGTTTCTCTTCATACCCGTCTGTAGAAGGTATTTTCCACAATTTATTAATCTTTACAGTGAGTGGGAGATGCGGGGACGCTCAGTTGTTGTTTCTCTAATCTGTTAGTTAAGCAATTTAATCTGGGAAAGTAATATTGAATTATACATATGGAGGCAATGATTCCCACAACTTTGCCAGGAATGTACAGATGGTATTTGTTCTGGGTCTCAGTAAGTTATTGTTTTTAAAGTTTTAGCCAGTTATACTCCCTTTCTCCTCTTTCATTTTTATCACTAAACTATACAGTCAAACCCCGCTTCTCATTATTACGGACAGTGTGCTTTGTTCCCGGGGAAAAGAAAGCCCTTACATTATCTCTTCATTCCGTTTTAGTGGACATTGGTTCTTGGTACTAATCTATAACCTACCCTTTTTGGTTGGAAAAGCACAAAAGGACAAAACCTTGCAAAAGTGTTTAGTTGAATTGCTTGTTGATGATTAGATATCTGATAGTAGAAACCTCACTTGACCTCTTATAAGGGTATACAAGGACAGTTTATACAACATCACTATTTCATTATAAGGGGCTCACTCACCAAATGGAGTGCCAGAAAAAATATTCTGTCCTAAATTTGCAGTTTCAAAGTATTGTCTTTATTTGTCATTGATATTCGCAGGGCACCAATCATAATGATCGACTCAATCGTCTATGGCTCGGAGGATGGGTTTAACAGCTATCCTTTGTCAAGAGAACGAGAGGCAGACCTGATTCGAAGGTAACTTATTTAATCGCAGTGATAGTTGTGAAACGTTTCCTCTACCGTTTAAATAATGATAATAATTTGCATAGCGCGAATACCATATAATATTCAAATGCACTTCACAATAAAATGACACAATACAATTTTTATTGCGGCTGCATATTTTAAGGCTAAACCTTCTATTCTGATTTGTACGCAGTTTTGTAAGATGCGAGTGGCTGGGTAAAGAAAAGAGTTCTGCTTCTGACTTCACTCCTGAATCAATGCCCCTATATTACCCCAAGGTAAGACGTT